CTTACCGTGCTCACAGCAGAGCCCCGCAATGACAGCAGGTGCTCAGGAAACACTAAATGAGGACGGGTTCAGTCTGCTGTGTGATCTTGAACAGGTTACTTCCCCTCTCTGGGCCTCCATTCTTCAATTACTTTTGTCCCTAAGTGAAAGGGACTAAGGATCTCTGCAGGGCTCCTCCGCTCGGTCACTAGTTGACCCCTCACACCTGGGAGACTGCACGGACTGGCACAGGACCAGAGAGGAAGTCCCCTGATGGCAGTGCTTCCTGGTGCTGACTTGCGCTCTTCCATTATTTATTGAGCACTTACGTAGTGCGCCAAGTTTCATGCCACATACTGGGAGCACAAGGAGGCATTCAGGGATCCTAATGGGATTAAAGGAGCTTTGAAAGCAGGCCTTCTTTGATCTGGACGAGGTAAATGGTCATAAACACGGACTGGCCGCTCTTCAAGAAAACCGGACCCATGAGACGAGAACCACGACAGCCCGTGTAGACTGGCACTTACCCCGTCCCAGGACTGCTCTCAGGGCTTACGTAAGTCACCTGTCTTCACAACAACCCGAAGCAGAAGTGCTACGGGGGGAACCCCACAAAGAATCCGAAGCACAGAGAAGTTCAGTGACTTGCCCAAGATCACGCAGCAAGGTGTGGCAAAGCCAGTTCCTAGAAAGTTGGAATAAAGGCAAGAGGCGCCCCTCCTAGATGAACAAGGAGCCGCGTCCGGGCCAGTCCTGAGCTAGGGAAGGGTCCTCAGCCCCCAGGGCTCAGCCAAGTCCCCTGCCCTATCCTACTGGGCAGAAGCAGCTCCTCGGGATCTTGGCCCTCGGCCAGAGGAGACCCTCCCACAGCTGCCATGTCCACACTCAGGCCTGGGCCAGTGGGGCAGCAGGGGGCCCAGGACAGGCCTGCTGGGGGGCAGCCTGGGGCCTGGAGGGCTGTGGGGGGTCCAGCAGGGAGGCCACGTTCTCCAGGGCCAGCAGGAATGGACACTCGGGTGGGGTGGGACACCAGTGACCCCCAGCAGAGAGGGGACCGGGAAGAGGGAGACAGCATTCATGGTCTCTCCCTTCCGGCGGGTACCTTGGCGAGAGCCTGCCCCTGCAGCAGGAGGACCTCCGGGGACAGAGTCCCGCAGGCCACACCGGGGTGACGTGGGTCTGCAGAAGGCCGCCCGAGTTCCACCTTGGGGCACGAGCCACGGGCTGCCACCACCTGGCTGCTGCCCAGCTGCGGGGCCCTGGGGGGGGAAGGAGTCACCCCTGCCCCGTCCTGGGACCCAGCGGGTCAGCCAGGAGGGCTCCCTCCCGGGCCCTGCAGCCTCCCTCACCCCCGGCCCCGCAGCCAGAGCCGGGGACTTTTGATGTTGACTCTGTTCAGTCCCCGAGTTCAAAAGGAGCTTGGCAGCGCTGGGCTGGCCCTGATCTCCTCTCAGCTCCCAGCTGGCCGCTTGAGGCGGCTGAGACCCGGGATTAGGCGGCTTTACAGAACCGCGCCCTCCCGGGACGGCCCGAGGCTTCTTTTCATCTTCACGCCTCAGATGGCCCTTCTCTCCCCTAAACAGCTCTCCAGCCGCCAAGAGGCAGTGAACTTGGCCGAGAGGAAGACAAAGGAGACTTTCAGGGCTCAGCGGGTTCTCCCTGGGCCAGCGAGGGGCACAGAGGGACCGACCGCCAGAGGACTCCTGCAGCCCCAGGTGATGGCCAGGTGATGGCCACGCAGGGGCCTGCGGTCCTCGGCCACCTCCCCATCCCCGGCCACTGCACCAAGGGTGGCCGGAGAACCAGAGATGGTCACCGCGCCCGGGTCCTTCCCAAGGGCCTTGGGGACCCAGTGGCGGGTCAGGTCCAGGTGACCACCTGCTGGAAGCACAGCAGCCACTGGTCCCAGCTTCACTGCTGGCCGTGTCACTTTAAGTCCTGCTGAAGCCGGAATGAGACGGCGGTGGCACAGAGAGGTAAAGCAGGTCGGGTCGGACCCAGGAGGCCGACTTGGAGTGAGGACTGAAATGCGAACTCCCTCGGAGCCACCCTTATCACCAACCTGCCCCTGCGCCAACCTGTCACCATGGTGACCTGTCCCAGGACCGGTCCCTCGACAGGGAGCCACAGGGCTGTTAATTAATTGTCCTGGGCTGCTCCATCCTGCCCTTCCCCTTGGCCACCTGTCTGCCACCTGTGGGCCACCCCCCAGCATCCCTGGGCCTGTCACATAAGCAGGAAGGAGAGAGAGAAGGGGAAGGAGCCTGGGACACAGAAAAGGGCCGGACACCTCGCTTTTGGGGACACCCAGGCCCCAGCCAGGGCCCCGCTCCCTCCTGGCAGAGGTCTGTGTCCCCCTTTTCAATAAACCCCGCTGTACGTGCCTGCTGCCCCGATCTCACCCGGGGGGAAGCAGGACGGTCCCTATCACCCCATCACCCCGTCACCCAGCGGCCAGCGGTCCTGATTTCGGGAGGATCGCGTGACTGCCCCAGATGACAGCGCGGCTCGCTCTGCCCCCTGCCAACTCGGTTCCTCCCGTGGCCAGCGGCTGTCCTCAGCAGCACCTGCACCAGGCGACAGGGAGGTCCCGGCTCCCTCTGTTCAGGCAGCGACGTCAGCCGTGGGCCTCGGCAGCCTGTGGAGCCGGTGCCGCTGGGTCCCCGCGAGCTTTTGTTGAAGAAAGAGGCTGAGAAGCTACAGCCCCACCAACCGCGCCCCGCCCCTAACTGGGAACCTGAGGCTGGCAGGTGACACAGTGCTAAGCCTGGATGTCACCAATGGCTGGAAAGGCCCCAGGCTGCTACCGAGCCCGATGAGCAACTGGTGTGCCTCGGGTCGGAGAGAGGGCTGCCCACCCACCACGGTCCCCTGGCAGAACCAGGCCCCTCAGGCCCCCAGGCCCCGCACGTTTCCCCCACCTGCCAATCAATGTCTGTCAGCAGCATCCCCAGAACAGTGGTGGGCGCCCATCGAGTCCAGCTCCCCGTATTCACCACCACGCCACAGAGGACAACAGGGAGGACGGAGAGGGAGGGACCTGCCCAGAGGTCAAGGCCAGCTCGGAGGGAGCCGGCCCACGGCTCACTTCATTTCGTCTGCTGGCAGGTGGACAGCCCTTTGGAAATCAGTCTCACGTGACTTCAGATAGCACCTCGACCCCAAAAAGTCCCAGGAGTGGCCTCTAACCAGGATTTCAAATACCAAGGAAGACCAGGCCCGGTGCGCCCCCCTGTGATCCCAGCAGCTCTGGAGGCTGAGGCAGGAGGATCGGGAGTTCAAGGCCAGCCTCAGCAACTTAGTGAAACTGTCTCGAAATGAAATAGAAGAAAAGGGCCGGGATGTGGCTCAGGGGTTAAGCACCCTGGGTTCCGTGCCTGGTACCCAAAACGAACCACAAAATAACCCTCATGGACAGTGCAAAGACGGACGAGAGAGGACGGGCCACAAAGGAAGGTGTCTGAAGGATGGATGCCCACAGACGGTGCGGACCATGGCGGTGGCCGTTAGATGGATGGACAGGGTGGGGTGATGGGTGAGCAGCAGATGGACGGGGGGCAGAGTGCTGGCTGGTGGGCCCTGGACCGGTGGGTGACCAGTGGGGGACTGGGTGGGGAGTGCGCAGGTGGCAGGGGCAGCTGAGGGGGAGGACGCGCACAGGGGCCGTGAGATGGCACACGGGGGGTGACCGAGCAGACCAAGGAACGAGACCTGACCCTGTAACCAGGGCCAGGGGCGCCTCGATCCCAGGGCCAGCCGTCTGCAGCCCTCACCTGACTCCCCGGCCGTCCGGCGGGCACCTGATCCCAGCCTCTCTCCACAGAGCCCCAGGGCCACGGCGGCTTCGGGGACCCAGGGAAAGACGAGGGTGGAAGCCCCCGGGCCCGAGCGCCAGAGCCAGGACACAGACAACCGCCCAGGCACAGGCCGCAGCCTGGACAGGGCTTTTGGTCCCTGGCGCCCTGCGCTCCCCCGGGGGCTGCTCGCAGAGGAGCGAGGTGTGCAGACCCCTGATCCCCAGCCTGCTCCAGCTTGGGACAGTGTCACCTGGTGACTCCTGAAGTCGTTCTTGACACAGCAAACCCAGGGAGCTGGGTCTCCACCTGCCACAGCCCTCAGGCCAGACGGGGCCTGACCCCCGCGCAGCCCGGGGAACCCCAGAGAGCTTTATGACTCGCGGCTCCCTACCCGAAGCCCTCCAGACCCCAAGGCAAATCCTTGGGGACCTCCTGGGGACTCCTGCACCCAGCACCCAGCTCTGCAGCCGGCCGGCTGCCCACCTTGGCCCCAGCTGGGGTCCTTGGACGCCCCACATCGGCAACTCTCTTCTCTGAATAAAAAATGGAACTCGGTCCCACTCAGCAAGCGCTCTCAGCTCAGGAAGTCGGCGATGACCATGCTGGGACAAGGCCCTAGTTCCCACCATGAACGTGGAGACAGAAGCCAGGAAGGTGATGTGTTTGCCAAAGTGGAATCTGTGTGTCAGTGGCCAGGGACCCACACTCTGGTGCCCCCCCGTCTCCCCACAGTACATCACTTCTCTTGAAGAAAGGGACAGTGTGGGGCTGGGGGCCGGGGTGCACGCCGGTAATCGCAGCAGCTGGGGAGGCTGAGACAGGAGGAGCGTGAGTTCCAAGCCAGCCTCAGCAAAAAGCGAGGCGGGAGGAGAGGGGAGAGGACGGCTGCGCGTGTGCGTGTGCGTGTGAGTGCGTGTGTGACACATTCCAGGTGCACAGCGGTGGTGCACAGGAAGAACTGGGCAAAGTGACCAGCTGTGTGCGCCTCTGACCACGTCCTGCTTCAGCCTGCCAAGTCCCACACGGCCAGGCCTTGCTACTGACACCTCATCAAGGGCCTGGGGTTGATGGGCGCAGGCCAGACGGGCTCTGCCAGCTGGGCCTCCCCCTGGGCTTGGACCCCTGGAGGGCTGCGCGCCCCCATTCCCCGGCCCTCCAGGGTCGGAGGCGGCAGCTGGCCCCTGCCCACCTCACCGGCAGGAGCCACACACAGATGCCAAGTACCTTCTAGACGGAAGTCCTCCTCCTCCTCCTCCTCGCTGAGCGCGTCTCTGAGCATTTCGCCCACCAGCTCCTGGGGAGACAAAGGCCGGGGCGTTAGGGAGGTGGGGGGTCGGCAGGAGCCCCCGGGGCTGGTCTGGTCTCTGACGGGACTGAGGAGGAAGCCAGGAGACCCTACCCAGGACCCTCAGAAGGGAAGTCCCCTCCCCAGCTGCAACGGCCAGGCAAGTGTCCCCCACCCTCCCACCAAGCCGGCCTCCCCCGCGGGCCACAGGATGAGACCTCACTCTGGATCCTTCCTCCGCAACGGTGAAGGCCTCGGTGGGTCTGAACAGCCCCTGGGCCTGGAGTGCTCTACGGGGGACCCCTGCCCCCCTCCCCCATCCTGCACCCAAAGCCCTCAGCTGATATCCGGGACCCAGGTTGCAGCAGCCCTCGATGGCCCCCAGGTACCACCGACCCACATCTTCCCATTGCCGGCCTGGCCCGGGCACCACCGGGTCTGGTGTGGTGCCCACATGGCAGAGCTCCTCCCGGCCAGCGTCACCGGGCGGCCACTCAGGTGTTATCAGGCTGGCCAGGGGGGTTTCTCTGGTTCACAGGCTGGGGAATGTCGGGGATGTCAGCAGACTCAGGCCCTGTCCATCTATCTGCCCACCACAGCAGGATGACTGGAGATATGGAGAAGTCAGACCAGCGCTGGCCAAACTGGCCTCTGTATCTACTGGCCTTCTGCCATCAAAGCAGAATGCGTCAGACAGAGCTCCGCGAGGCCCCTTGCTGCAGGACTTATCAGAGCCTTGGCTGTGCTTCTCCCACTGGGAGCCTCCGTGTGCAGGTGTGTACTGCTGGCTCCCAGCCCGGGCAGACCGCGAGGTTTTGCCTTTCAAAAGCATCCTATGAGCCAGACAGGCGCACGCCTGTCATCCCAGCGACTCAGGGGGCTGAGGCAGGAGGATCGTGAGTTCAAAGCCAGCCTCAGCAATGGTGAGGTGCAAAGCCACTCAGGGAGACCCTGTCTCTAAATGAAGTACAAAACAGGCTGGGGACGTGGCTCAGTGGTCGGGTGTCCCTGAGTTCCATCCCCAGTACCCCACTCCCAAAAAAGCGTCCTATGAGAGTCATATACACCCAGGAATGCACTGTGGGGAACACTCCTCTCGGGGGACAGACGGTGCTGGAGGTGTCCTGCCACCTCTCTCCCGTCCCCAGCGATGCCCTGGCAGGGCTTCCTGAACCCACAAAATGACGAGCAATAAAAAGGCCAAGGCAGCGGCTGTCACCAGCTTCTCTTTGTAAAAAGAAAAAAGAGAAAGGAAGAAACCCTCTCCTTGGGGGGGACCCGCACCTCTGAGGCCCAGGGGAAGCTTCGTGCCCGCCTCACGAACAGGGACGCAGCGCCGTGCCTGCCGGGCCACAGCTGGCCGCCAGATGCTCGCTTCCCGCCGCTTTGTTTCCAAGACCAACAGCTCCCATTTGGTGGCGGGGGACATCTTCTCCGCCCGTTCTCCTTTCCAACATTCCAGGGCATCCCTCGCCCCTCAAGGGCTGCTCCATGTGGCCACTCGGGCTCCGGTGCCCCGTGGACTTCAGAACCAGGCGACTTCCTTCCCCAAGTCCTGGCCGGCCCCCTCTCCTCCTCGGCCGTCACGACACCCCCGGCCTCTCCCGGGCTTGCAGACGGGGCTGGGTTAACAGCCAGCGCTGACGGGGGGCTGCGGGCCAGTGACAGGACAGGGCGCACACCGCGGGGCCCCGTCAGATGGCCGGGACACCCCAGCAGCCAGCCAACGCCTGCCTTTCACACTGCCGCCTCCCCAGGGGGCCCGCGGGCAGCGCCTCTTACAGGGCAGGTGACCATCCTCAAGGGCAAGCACAGACCCGTCACGCTGAGGTCCTCTGCAGACAGGGGCTCAGCGCTGACCTCACACTGCCCACCCACAGCACGGCAGAGCCGCCAGCGCCATGGGCCTTGACTGGCCCCCTCCGAGGGCCACCCCAAGCAAGGCACCCGCGGGGCCCCTGTGCCGACCCCTGCCCGCAGGCTGCACAGCAGCACGTCCCTGTGGCCGGGCCTCCGCGCTCTCCGTGGAGAATCAGAGCAAGTCTGGAGGCCACCCTTACCCCTGAACCGCACCGGACTCTGCAGGACACCGCGAATGCCCCCTGGCAGGTGCACAGAGCCCACAAGCAGCAGGAAGCCCTCTCCGCTGCTGAGACGCGGGACGAGCCGGGGTCTGTGGCATGCAGTGTCCGTGGTCCACCAGACCCAGAGGCCACCTGGGCTGCAGAGCCAGCGCCGGACCCTCAGGATCCTGGGGCCCCACGGCCTCCTGTGCACCTGGGCCTCAGTCTACTGGTCTTTGAAATGGGCACCCGAGAAAAGTCACACCACATCCAAACAGCCGGTGCTCACTGCGCATCTCCGTGCTGAGCACCTGCTGTACTCTATGGGCTCCTCTGGCCACCGCCGCAGCCCACTCTTCCTACCTCCCAGAGCGAGTGACTGGCGGGTTGTAAAACGAGAGCTGTGAGCATTACCAGGGCCAGGAGGCCAGACGAGGCTCCGACGACATTCACGCTGCCCGACTAGGTGGGGCACGGGGACAGACGGGGCACGGGGACAGATGGGGCACGGGAACGGAACCGGCTCAGGCCCTCACGGATGGCCAGAGAAAAGCACTCCGACTACCCCGGGCCTGAGGAGGGGAGACCCTCTGGGCCATCAGCAGGTGCCGCGGGAGCTGGCCTCGGACCCTCAGCAGCCCATGCAGAGGGCACACGGCAGGAGCCGGCCAGACCCCGTGTAAACGCCAGCTCTGTCCCCCGTAAGCCAGGCCACCCAGTGAAGGAACACTACCCCCTTCCCACTCCTGGGTCTTGGGGTGGCAGTAAGAAGTCAGGAGGTCCCACAGGCACGCGCTCAGCCAGCGCCTATGCCGTGGGTGGGACAGAGCCACTGTTAGGGTCACCTCCTCTTCTACTGCTGTTACCCAATGACTGAGCAAAGCTGAGAGACTCACAGGTGCCCAGGCAGCTCACGGTGCCCTCCTGCCTGACACGCTGCTTGCTGTGCTTTGTATTTAACACTCATGGCAATCACTGAGGCCTTCCGAAGGACTGCCATTATCATGCTCACTTTATAGAGATAAAACAGAAGCACAGAGAGGTTAAGTGACTTTCCCAAGGTCCCACAGCTAGCAATACCCTTCACTGCTGCGTTCATGTACAAGAAGCCTGGATGGGACCCTCACCGTGCCATGACTGCCCCTCACTGATTTACCCACTCACTGTCACTCGGGCCCCCAGGCCACAGGCCTCCTTCTCTCGGGTCTCTGGGACTGTCAGCCTCAGCCTCTGCTCCAGGTTCTGATTAAAAGCCTCCCTGGATGCCCAGGATTCCTGCCCAGGGGCCTGGCTTGGTGGCCTCTCAGGCCACACAGTGTGGACACGCCTCCCCTCTGAGTCCCAGCACTGTCCCTTCTGCTGGCCCCCGGAGCCCAAGCTCTGCCCGACGCTGGGCCCCAGGAAGAGAGGCCAGCTCCTCTGGGCACTGGGTGTGCGGCCAGCACCAGCCCAAGCCCGGAATCGCAGGCACCATGCCTTATAAGGCTCCGGGGACAGGAAACCACATCAAAGCGGGGCCTGGGAGGGCTGGGGTTGGTGGGGCTTCTGCTTTGTCTCCGAGGCCTCCTTCTCGGCCCTCGGTCCCCCACCCCTGCCCCAGCAGGCCCGCGTCAATCTTCCTGCTCCCTAAGCGCTAACAGATGTCGGTGCCCGGGGAACACGGCAGGGCGGGGACCCACCGGCAGGATGGAGGCCGCTCCCGGGACCCTCAGGTCCAAGTGGCCTGCCCCGGGGCCATCCAGGAGATGCCCGCAAGCCCTCCCCCCAGCGCGCCCTCCCCCCAGCACAGGTGGGAGCAGCCGGCCAGGCCTTCCCCGACTCCAGTGGGAGCAGGTGAGGCCCTCCTCCTGCCCACCCCAGGACTAGGCGGGCAGGACAGGCCGCTCCCCAGCATTGGGTGGGCTCGGCTCGGGCCCCGCCACCCGCAGCAGCTGAGGGGCAGCCCTTGACCTCTCTTCCCTGGCCCCCACTGTCCTCTTCCGTAAGATGGACATAGAGCTGTCACGAGGAATCAATGAGGCGACGGGGACACCCAGGTGGGCAGCTGCCACGGGCTCCTCCCATTCTCCGGAACATTCTCCCAGCTTATCCCCACACCCCGCCACTCAACCAGCTCCACGCACTGTGTCGGGAGCCACGTTCAAGTTCAGTGACATCTAGGACCACGCGGTTCCTGTGAACCAGCGGTCACAGCCACCCGAGGGCCATCAAAGCACCACTCTGTGGTCAGAAGAACGAGGCCGACCTGTCCATCCCCATCCCGCTACACAGACGGTGCCCCACACAGGAGGGGGGACAGAGTGGACGCGGGAAGACGCAGAGGCCGGAGCTGCCTGGACGTCTAGGAAACCCAGTGGGCAGAGACGTGGGAAGAGACCACCAGGGCCGTCCCCCTGGGGGGACGCGGGGGAGAAGCAGGGGGTGGAGGGGCGAGACACAGGCCTGATCACAGCTGCTCCGACCCTGAACAGATGCCCACTGCGGTCTCTTGGTGTCCATGAAGGCCTGGGGCTGGGACCTCTGGGTCATCCCCAAGGTAAATGCTGTTGAGCAGCCGAGGTTCTGTGTTGTCAGGGAATGGCGAGGGGATGAGAGTCTGCGTGGGGTCGACAAAGACAAAGTCCCCACCCACTGTGGACTGGGTCTGCGAACCTGGAACCCAGGGACCCGGGGCCACCTGCATGTCTGTGGGGTTGCTGGTCGTGAAAACGTGACCTGACAGAAGCCCAGACGATGACCCACTTGACAAGAGAAGGAGCCGACACTCGGCGGGTTACAGCGTTGGGTCGCAGGCCTCCCGAGAAAAAGGGGCAGAGGAGGTGAGAATCCCCTGGGCCTCGGGCACGGCGTCTCTGGAACGGGCAGCAGTCAAGATGACACTCGGGTCCCCTCTGAGGTGGGCGTCTGGGGGTCCCAGCCCCCACCCCCTCAGTGGGGCAGGTTTCT